ATGAGAATGGAAAGTGGAATCTACAAATTGGGGGAAGCAATTATGTCTTTGTGGCTTCAATACAGTAGTAAAAACTCTTTCTTGCGACTGACATTGTAGCATGGGAAGTAGTGAACAGCTGGCAGCTTGGTGGAGGAGCTGGTGACCACTGCTCAGAACCCCCTGCTGAGACCCCATGTCAGTGGAGGTTTTAACATCTTAATTTTAGCAGAAGTTCACGGTTCTGTCGCCAGCACAAGCTGCAGAGACAGCTCATTTAGCTCGAATTTTTCTGCATTGCTGTCGGTTTTCATAGAATCATCGAGGCTGGAAAAGACCTTTAAGATCAAGTCCATCAAGATTTTTGTGGATTTGAGTTTGTTTGAGTAGGAAAACATGCAGCTGTGCAGAACGTTTGATCGCAGCACGTTGTAAGCAGTGTTTCTGGAGGAAAACAACAATGTAGGGTGGTGCCACTGGTATTTGATACTTTGCTCTAGACAAAAAGGAATGCAGATATTCTAAACCTCATCATTTATCTAAGTGTTTCATTTCAACAGCCACGCTGCTGCTGTTTATCTTGGATAATAATGTAGTTAACTCTACCTTAGACTGGCAATTCTCTGTTACTTTTCTGTAATGTAATCTTAACAGAAATGGCAGTGGGGGAGGGGACTTTGAATCTAAACCTCCCCCAGCTGGGCAGTTTGTGCTACACCCAGGCTGTCAAACTTCTCATGCTTTCTGGGAGCTCACAAACATGTTTTTTCCTGCTTTCCATGACTCTTTAGATTATGTTAGTAGTTCAACCAGTTAGCAGATAGTGTTTACCAAACTGCACCGGTGATGATAATACAAATATAGAGTAACTTACTGTTTACATTGTCTGTTACAATGTAAGTGCAGTTGCAACACTTGTTTCCCATCAGTTTTATGTTTAATATGACCTCATGTTTCTGTCACTGACACAGTATTTGCAATGTAGGTTAAGCTACTTTGTGTTAAGATGTTACCCTCGAGCTCCTTCACAAACGCCAAAAAATGTGCGAATTAGTATAAATATATTCCTACAATATTTTTGTATGGGGTGCAATACAAGGATTAATGTTTGTTGTTGGTTTTTGTTTGGTTGTGGGTTTTTTGTTGGTTTTGTGGGTTTTTTTTTGTTGGTTGGTTTGGTTTATGTTGTTTGTTTGTTTAAACTAATAAAGGTTTTTATGAAATTTTATCTGGACAGGAGGGGAAAGCAGACAGATGCTTATGAGTGCCCCATGGCTGCAGCTGCCTCAGTTCATTCATTTATTGCCTGTTATAACTTGGAAGCATTCTTTAGGTAAGAGAACAACTTCAAAATACATTGTCTATCATAATACACTTCTATGTTGCATCTTTAAATTGTTTTGTGCTCTCAGTTGTAAAGATATTTATGTGTTTGGCTTACATGTGAAATTATAAACCTAGCTTCCATATGTTAGAAACTGGTAACACTTTTGCAAGTGGATTTTATGTGCCAGGCAGAGTTAGGAAAGGGACAGTGTGCTCACTGGACAGAAGAACATGTAATACGTGCAGGCTGTGTGCACCACAAGCCCCTGATACAGCACAGACATTTGATTTTTCTTTGGAGATAGCTTCTCTTGTATTCATAATTAACATCTTTACTGCACCTGTGTTAAACTCTACAACTCTAGAATTGGTATGAACTGGGTATTTTTTCAAAAGATGGTGTTACTACCTGGAAGAATCTAAAGTCTCATGTCTCCCATCTTTTAAAGAAAAATAAAAAAGTGTTAGAAGGTTTCTAAAGATGTTACTACTGGTTGGACACAGTACTTTGTAAACACCTTCAGTTTATAAAACTACTTTTTCATTTCAAACCTGTCATGATTTAGAGAGATGTATGTTGCTGTTCCTATAGCTTTCCATTCAACCATCTTCAAACAATGTAAAATACCTAAGTGAATTTTGAGGTTTTGGGTATGTTTTCTTATAGCAGACCAAGATAGTCTTTCATACCAACATGCAGGGTATTTTGGTGTTCACATATGGGAGTATATTCATACATCACCTGCATCTTTTTTTCCAGATAGAGTTTGATTGATTAGCCTAAGCAGTTTGTTTACTGTCAGGATTGTCACAATGCAGCAAGCATACTTTTGGAGTAAAAGTTTGTAACATTTAAAGCCAAGAGTCCTTGCTTTTTAAAATAGAGTAAGTCATATATTTAAATATGACTGTTTTGATTCATGTGGTTTTGGGATACAGTAAGCTAAAAAAAAAATATTAACATTTCTTATCCAGGTATGTAGTTTCTTAAAATAATCTTCAAGAATCCAGAGGTGTGTTTGTGTTGCATAAGATAACTGATGTGACTAATATTGCAGATCACGCAAAAACTAGATTTGTGCCAACAATTACAGCTTCCATTAGTTAAATGATGGTTTTGAGATGGTGTTTGGTAGAACTAATTTGTTTGCCACATTCCATTGTTCTACTTCCACATCTGCCCTGCACTGTAGAGTGTACTGTCTGTTAGGTTTTTGTTCCAAAATTGAGTTTAGTCCCTCCCATGGGTCTCCCAGACATTGCAGAACAATTCTTCTTTGGTTGGTGGCTTCATAGGTCAGTTCATCATCTGGGACCAGTCCCTGCCTTCTGGTTAAGGAATCCATCCACACAGACAGGATGACTCAACAGTGGGATGGATGTTCAGATACCAGAAAGGTGCTGGTAACTTGACAGGAACTACCACATTCTTTGGAGGTATGTGTGTATGTAAACCTCTCCTTGAATACTACCTGGATTGTATGGAACTCACATGGAACTATGGTTGTGTTTTAAAATATACTCTTCATAGCTTAAGCATTCATAATGGAATAAGCATTCACATTTTTACAGTTAATATTGGGGCTTTATGTTTGGTGAAAAACAATGGAACCTTTGTTTCAGCATTCCACAGTGAATAATATAATGTATTTTTGCTATATTTAGAGTACTGCAAAATAAAATACTAAAAATAGACATTGTAGAGTTATTAGTTTTAAAGAGATGTAGCAACCAGAAAAAGTTATGGCCACGTTCCATCATGGAGAGCATAGATCCATTGTATGCCATGTAGATCCAGTCATATCTCCTCATACATCTGGACTGACCATGCTGCATCTGGTCTCTAGCCTGGCCTGTGGTTTAGGGAAGTGTTGTCCTTTCTGGTGGTTCTCACATGTCAGAACTTCTTTGTGGGAGCCAAAACAACACCCTTGAAGCTTAGGTAAGTTTCAAATAAGAAAGTGAAAATTTCCATTTCTTTCAGAAACGTATTTTACTGAGGTGTTGCAGATTTGCATGGAAAACAACAAAAGCATAGGGAATCTTCTCAACCAACAGCATTTGCTTAATTTCCTTTTTTTTCCTGCACTTTAGTTTTGGGCAACAGCTAAATTTGTAGTTCCTTCTGAGGAGGGAGGAGAAAAAAAAACCCAAACAAAAACATGTATTTGACTCAAGCTAAATTTAGCAAAGGCATGAGCAACTGAAAGAGAGGGTTATGTCATGGTTAATTGCTACATCCATACATAATGCTTTGCAATGTTCATTCATTGTGTGACTTACAGCACTCAAAAGTCATATAATGTGGTCATGTAGATGATAATTTGATAAAATGGTCTAGTAGCAAAACATTTACTCATGCTGAGCTTTCATCTCCATTGCATTAGTAACACTAATGAATTGTTTAGAAATACTGCTTTGGTTTGGGGTGTATTGTCCTTCATTCTCTTTCCTTGCTGCCGTTGCTTCTTAATGCAAGGCAAGTGTTTATTCAGGGAAGCAAAAACTGAAGTTATTAAAGATAATTTAAAGAGTGTTACTAGCTTATCCTTCCACATGTATCACTTAGCACCATCATAAAGGGAACTTCAAAGAGGCTAAGGGAGGATTCCTGAAGCTTACTAGAATAAATTCCTTGGTGGTTGAGGTGATTTGTCAGGAGAACAATCAGTAATGAATCCGGTTGAGAACTGACTGAATAACAGAGTTCAGTCTAGAATGGACTTGAGTAGAAAGCAGAACTCGTCCTCACGCTGCTCTTTTCTGAACTCTGGCTCATGTGGCAAACGTTCCCCAGTGGAGCAGATTCACAGTTTGCAGTATTCCAAGGTCACTGTCTTTTGAACCTCTCTCACTTTGCCCTGTTTTGATAAGCGGTCTCTGAAGTTTTTCGTTGTTAGTTCAACAACATTTTTTCCTCTCCTGGCATGATTTAAAAAAAGAAAACGACAAACCAAACTGAAAAACCCAACAAAACAAAGCAGTGGGGGAGTTGGGCAAAACTGTTGAATCTGAATCTTCTGAACATGTCTGTTCCAAGTTCATCAGTGTTTAAACAAGGAGTTTATGAATTGGGTTTTGTAGCTGATAAAGTTCTTCTAGAAGTTGTGAGTAGATTCTGTAGTTTGTCTGCTGAGTTTGAACTTAAACATGCACAATTTGATACTGCTAAACTAAATTGCTGTTAAATGCTTTTTTTTCCCTCCAAAGTGCTTTATGTGCTATCAGGTACTAAGGCATGAAACCTGACTTGATAAGTTAACAATCCCACCCTCTTCAGATTCAAATCAAGTTGTACAAAATAAAAAGTACCGAGAAAGAGGGTCCTTGCTAATGTCTGTGCACTGGTTTATCGATGTACCTTTTTGCATAGTAATGTGCTATCTTTAATTTTTACCAACTTATTATCTCTTATATTCACTGCCTTATTTCCCTTCCTCCCCTAATCTTCTGGATATTTCTAGAGACCTGCTCTACATGAGATCTTTCAGGAAACATTGCAATTTGACTTCATCAGATTCTTCCAGTGCTTGAAGCTTTCATGATGAAGAGAGCTAGGCAGAAGGTTGTGGCTGAAAATGAGGCTCCTGAAACATCACAGAAAAGCAAAAAACAGAAAACTTACTCATATGGGTCAGTGTTTGGTGAATCTGACTTGCACACCTCCATGGACTGGGGAAGCCTTCCCCACCACGTTATCCTGCGTGTTTTCCAGTTTCTACCTTTAGTAGATCGTGCCAGGGCCGCTTCTGTCTGTCGAAGGTGGAATGAAATTTTTCACATCCCAGATCTCTGGAGGAGATTTGAATTTGAACTTAGCCAGCCAGCTACTTCTTACTTAAAGTCTACGCATCCTGATCTCATTCAGCAGATTATCAAGAGACATGCTGATCATCTGCAGTATGTCAGCTTCAAGGTAGGTCTGGGAGGAACAGGCATCTTTTGTCATCTAACTGTGCACAATGTGTGCAGCTTCTCTATGGCAGCTGGCTCAGGTGTTGTACCTGAGGAGCCTTAGGTTAAAAAATGCAGCTACTGCAACAGTTTATTCCCATGTGTGCACACTGTTTCCTTCCCTTTTCTGCACTCTAATCTCTGCAGAGTAAAGGAAGAGCTAATGCCATGCTATACAGTGCTGAATTTGAAATTATGTGTTTTCAGAATGTATAGAATACATAGTATTCACAGCAGTTTGTGGATCACAAGTTATTAAATACCTGTAACTTCTGCACTTCATAAAACTGACTATGATAAATTGGCATTAACATTGCTTAAAGCAATTTTTATCCTTTTTCAACTAGTCTTCTCTCATCTCAGCTTCTACAGAGGAGGAGGATGAGATGAAATAGTGATTTGTCCAAAGATAAATCAGGCTAATAGATGAATTGAGAATGAGTTCATTATTCAAGATGCAAGGGTAGTGTCCCTGCGAGGAAATTGGATTGGTTTGCTGGAGTGGATCTAGGCTTTATAATCTCTTTTTTCTGCTTTAAGTGTTTAGAATTGGCATTTTTAAAAGGTGCATACATACCACTGTCTATCATAACAGTAATGCTAATTACAGTTGTTTAAGAAGGCACAAGGTTATTTGAAGGGAAGGCTTAGAGACAAGCTGTTCAAACTCAGGAAAATTTTCTATTAGTAACTTTCCTGAACTCTTTATTGTCTTGACATTTCTAATTGATGTTCCATGTTGTCCTTGAGGAAAATGAGATCTGGTGCAGTACAACTGAGTGGGTGTGGAACTTGCAGTCTTAGATATCCTTGATGTTGTTTTCTAAATAGTAATAAAGAATGACTTCATTTTTAAATTGCTTTTATAGGTTGATAGTAGCACTGAGTCAGCAGAAGCTGCCTGTAACATCTTGTCTCAGTTGGTGAACTGTTCTATCAAGACTCTGGGTTTGATTTCTACAGCAAAACCAAGCTTCATGAATGTCTCTAAGGTAACGTCCTACAAACTGTAACTCTGAAGCCACTTTAACTCTCTTACACTCTCACTTTTTGGTAATTTTTATGGAACAGGCTGTATTTATTGGCATATTTTTAATTCATGTCATCCATTAGTATCAGGAAAATACTTAAATGTTGATTCCATTCATTAAATGTAGTAGTGTCAATAGTTTGTAGAGATGGGGAATCATTCAGGGCTTGAGTTTCCTTGTTTCTAGACAAGAATATAGAGTCATCATGTGCTGCAACATATTGTTAAGATATTTGAGACTTCTTTGCTGTGACCTATAGTCAAAGAAAAAATTTACTTTCTGGAAAATAAAATAAATGCCATTTCCTTTTTTCTGTAGATAAATTCTAGAAACTGCAGGCTCCTCACTGCATCCACTTATCTCTCTTCCATTACAGTGAAAAGATAAATCAGAGTGGATGAGTTAGCTACTGAGTGTAAAGTTAATTTTTATTGCATGCAGCAGCTTATTCTTAAGCAAAGGTTTCCTATGTTCATGTTCAAATAAGAAGAAAGGGGATGCCTAAGAACTGATTATTTTTGTGCTTCCTGTGCATACAGGCATGAGGCTTAGATGCTGAAGTTCTGCCTAGTTGTAATTAATTTTTTTCCCTCCCTCAATTTTTCTGAACAGGCCCACTTTGCTTCAGCACTGACAGTAGTTTTTGTCAACTCCAAGTCATTGTCATCAATCAAGATGGATGACACACCACTTGATGATCCTTCTTTGAAAGTTCTTGTTGCTAACAATAGTGACACTCTAAAACTGCTCAAAATGAGCAGCTGTCCTCATGTGTCACCTGCTGGTGAGTAGTGAATATATATGAAAGATGTACTAAAGTGTCATAAAATAATAGTCAAGGCTTAGTTTGAAACAAGTTATTAGTAAGATTTCTAGTGGTGTTCTGAGTCTCTTAGAGGTCTTTTATTGACCTAGATTTGGCTTTGGAGACTTGGAGGGGAAGAAGAATAATGTCTTTGTTGGATTAATGAAGGTGTAAGTGCTCCTTGCTTTGCTACATCTTCTGTAATACTGGGGATATATTTTTTTTTAATTCTTCTTCGTTGTGTGGTGATAAGCCTTGAAGAGGAAGAGCCTCCAAAATTAGTGCAAGCCTTTAACACGTTCCCAGGGTTTTATGTTTGTTGCCAGTTCTGGGTAAGGGTGACCAGATGGGTGCCTCTTGTCGTGTGCAACTTTTTAAACTTCACTGGCATTGTGTGGGGACACACATGCAGTATCACCAGCCTGGGGAACCAACTACTGCTTGGTGGGATAATGGAGGTGCAAGCAGTTGTCAGGAAAGGTTTCACAAGTTGCTGTGAGTTTAGCTTGCTGAGCAAAAGTCTTAGCAATTCATAGTGTATACAATTTTAAAAAGTATGAGTTTGTCTTCCAGTTTCTGTGGTGCCCTCGTGTGGTCAGATCTGGTAGTGTGAACTTGCTCATTTTAGCATTGGGTGGTGAAGGGCTCACTCTCTTGAAGGGTACTAGAAAATACAGGCTTACCAGAAAGTGCAGTGGTTTGGAATCCCTCTCACCTTTCTTCTGAAACCTTGGTGCTGGGGAAAGGGAATCCTGGTTTGGTCTCTCTTCTATGCTCTTATCTAGAGTCCACAAAAGGTGACTCGGTCTGTGTACTTTGTATTCCAACAGATTGGAAGCAGTTCTTTTGTCTGTCTTAATTCAGGGAAGGGTGTGTTTTAGCATAATTCTTAAGCTAGGCTGCTGGTGGTCATTTGAATAGAATCCTGAGTTGAATGCTGAAGGAAGGAACATTAGGGAAGGGAACAGTGGCAACTTCAGCTGAATCTTGCCTGGTTTCAGTTGCCCTTTCAAAGGTGAGGAAATTCTGCACAGGGAAGGGCTAAGAGGAAGAAAAATACGCAGATCCAAGATAAGTACCATTAGTTAGACTTGCTTCTTTTACTGATAAGTGTTAATGGCCAAAACCCCATAAAAGGGTGTTGCTCTCTAGCACTTTATCATATTTCATGGGGTTTGGATAATGGCAGGAATAATCAATAGCATTAGTACTTGTTTGAGCTTTACAGCCAACAACTGTGCTTATATTCACTTTTCACTTGACAGAGTAATTTTTTTTGTTCCTCAGGAATTCTTTGTGTGGCTGACCAGTGCCATGGACTTAAGGAGCTGGCTTTGAACTACTACATACTAAGTGATGAACTATTGCTGGCTCTTTCAAGTGAAAAACATGTTGATCTGGAGCACCTTCGCATAGACGTCGTGAGTGAAAATCCTGGACAAGTTGAATTTCACACCATTAAAAAGCAGAGCTGGGACGCTCTTGTCAAACACTCCCCCAAGGTCAACATTGTGATGTATTTCTTCTTGTATGAAGAAGAGTTTGATGCTTTCTTCAGAGAGGAAACCCCAGTTACCCACCTTTACTTTGGTCGTGCAGTAAGCAAAGCGATGTTGGGTCGTATTGGCCTGAATTGCCCCAGGTTAATTGAGTTGGTGGTGTGTGCTAATGGGCTGCAGCCTTTGGATGAGGAGCTCATCCGGATCGCAGAGCGCTGTAAGAACTTGACAGCAATGGGACTTGGTGAATGTGAGGTAACTTGCAGAGGTTTTATTGAATTTGTGAAGATGTGTGGAGGCAGGCTGACCCAGCTTTCTATAATGGAGGAGGTCCTGATTCCAGATAATGATTATAGCTTAGATCGACTTCATCTGGAAGTCTCCAAACACCTTGGAAGAATGTGGTTTCCTGATATGATGCCAACGTGGTAAATTCTCTGTATTTGTGGGTAAGCTGTAAGAGTCAGGGTGTTGCTTTCTATGCAAATAAAGAATTTTAAAAATGAAATGTGAAAACATTTCAGGATTAGAATTTTCTACTTTGAGAACCTTGTAGTGTAACAGGAAAACATTCTAGAATGCTAATGGTATACTGAAATAGAAAATAGATTAAGCATTCTTAACACTTTGGAAAGTATGTCTGTGGTTTACAGATGCTTCAGACTTCAGTGAACTTGAGCTTCTCTAAGCTGTAGTTTAAAAATTCCATACACAAAGATATTTTTCTTTGTGTGTGTTTCTTTGTTTAGTCTTTCTGATGTATTCGGAAGAGGATTAAAGAAAGGTTTTTCCTTTAGCAAATTTAGCTTTATGGGAAGCTGGATACAACTTGGAGTTCAGGAAAGGTATGATTTGCCATGTTTTATGCAGCTATTTTTCAAAATATTTCTGTTGTAAGTGTAAAAGCTTGTACATAAAAAATACTTGCACTGGCCCAGATTACTCATGCCAGTCTATTAAAATGTTGTGGTAAATAAGCTATGCTTACAAAAAACTTTGGACTTTTAAATTGCACTTTAAATAATTTTGTCAGATTATCTAAACTGTAGGACTGCATTGTACAGTATGTTGTTTTCCAGTCATATGAATTAAATGGATGGAAAGAAGACCTTGTTAAAATAATTTGTAAGTTTTGACCTAGATTGGTTGCTTGGGTGAATGACAAAGCACTTTGGAAACTGTGAGAGTATGAGGAGGAGTTTCTGAGCTTGAGAGAGTTCAAGTCCTTGATTACAGAGGTTGATCTGTGAATGCTGTTCCATGGTTTCATTAGTAAGAGATAAGAAGAATCTCAGAAGTGTGGCTAGTGAGAAAGATCAAATGGCATACAGTTGTCTTCAATCACTTTGTATCTGGAATCAAGTGTTTGGAGCACTTAGGAAAATCAAAGCAATAACAAAAACCCCAAACAACTTGCAGATTAGAGGCCAAAATGACCTGTTATAATCTTGTCTGTGCTATAAGCCCTGATTTCTGGGCTAGGAATTGCTTGACATGATCCCAAAATTTTACTTCAGGACTGTTTAATACTTATTACTATTAATTATTTTTTGAGGAAGTTTTTTTTTAATTATTATTATTTCTTTGTTTTCTTTAAAAGGAAAAGGAATGGTGAGTTGACTTGAATTAGAATATGTATTTTTGTGTTGAATTTTGCACATTGTAAACTGAAATGAATTGTATACAAATTTTGCTGTAATTATTTTCATGCTGTAGTTATTCTATCTTTCTACTTACAGTGAGAAGTCTGCATTTGATTTGCTGGTAGTATTTGTCACATCAGATAAAGTGTCAGTTTCTTCCACACTTACACTTATTTACTTCTTTACTGGAAGAATAACAGCTAAAGGGTTAAACCACCATTGTCTTGGACAGACTTGTTCCCAGTTGGGAGCTAAAGAATTTAAGATAACAGAGAATGCATGTCTGAGTCAGTGGTGCATTCTTGCCTGTTGCACAGTTAAGAAGCATCTGCCTCTGTTAGCACCTCTTACCCAAGCACTTGCTTCCTTAATCAGCAGGACTATAATTACTTTTAAGCAAAAGACTGAAATGTCTCTAAACAGTATTTGGTTTGAGATGTGTGGTTTGCTTTAAATGTAAACATAATAAAGTGATCTAACACCTGCACTGATACTAGACTCTGACCCATCTGTTGCACCGCATCCTCCTGTTAGAGAGGGTTCAAAGGCACCAGTCATGCACCTTTTCTGCCACATGAGGGGGTCTGAGCTAGTTTTGATGCTTGCTGACTTTCCACACTCCTTGAGAAAGCTAGTAATAATTAGGCATTGCTAACTTCTTGATTCTCTTGTAAATTCCAAAAGAAACTTGAATCTTATTTTTCCTTGTGTTTCCTTGTTTTCTTTTTGCCATCCAGTGGAGGCACTGGTTGTTCTGGCATGAAAACTCCCAAGCAGTATTTTTTGTGCTTTTTGGAGTGTTTCAATGAGTCTCCTTCTGGTTTTCCTTGGTTCAGGTGCCTTCAAAAGTGATCTTGTTTGCCAAGGTGTAGTAAAGTTCATAAACGAGCCTCAGATACAATGTCCACAACAATTACAGGTGCTTAACTAACTGGTACCTGGAACATGTATAAATGTTAGCAACTTGTAATATGTAAGACCCAGAGTATTGAATGAGTAGTCATATAAATTGTTGATGTACATACTGGACAACTGTTTTAATTCTGGGAAATACATCTCTTCCTTCCTTCCTTCCCTGAAGGCTGCCCTTCACCACAGGCTGCCCACATGATAAGTAAAAACACCTTTTGGATGCTGAGATGAATTTATTTGGAATTCACTACATTTCCATTTCACTCTCTTCGCCCTTTCCCCCTTTCAAGGTTGCTGGTAGGATCTGAGTGATCACAGTTCTCAACGTGAATATGAGATATGATCCCAGGAAATACTCTTTGCATGGGCAACATTCTTCCAAGGACTTGGCCCTTGGAAATTCTACCGTTGTATCTGGTAGGATGGATGCAGAGCAGTTTTACACAGAAACCTGGTGAAAACAAGAGGAGGGAAAACATCAGGTGGCTGATGAAGCTTTTGTTCTCCTGTGCTAAATGTATTTCAGAAATACTAACATTTTCTGTCTTTTCCACTGACAGCAAAAGTGTAAATGCCAAAATAGCAAAGATACTGTGGTTGCAAAACCTAGATAGTGGTTGGAGTTGTTGGCTTGGTGGTGGAGGGAAGGTGGGTGCAAGAAGAAGATGGGAATTCCTGGGAATTCCTATCTTAGTAAAGAGAAGAGTGTTCTACAGAACTCAAAACTCCGTTTTTTATAACTTTCCTTCCATTGTAATTTAGGCTCCAACCTCAATACTTGAAAAGATAAAACTAACAAGTCCTGAAGGTGAGATCTCATCTCATATTGGAGACTGGATGCACTTGCACTCTAACAGGAACAAGAAGTCCTGCCTACAGATGGATAGATGCAGTGTTTCCAAGCATATACTTTGTTTAACTACTTGGCTGAGCGGCAGGTAATAATGAACTCAAGACAAAGAAATATTAAATGAAAAATAGTTATTTACCTGCTCCCCTGATTTGGACTCCATCATCAATGGCGTTTCCGTTGTGAAAGAATTTAACAGGCCCAGAGAGCTCCCCAGAAAAGGGAGCATAGACGGTTGCTCCATCGGCACAGATGACGTCCACAGCCTTGTGCTTCCCCTTCCCGTTGCGTCTGAAAACAAAGCCCTTGTTAGAGAAGTCTCTTGTCAGGCCTGACTTTGTAGAGAGAGATCAGTTAACTCACTGTAAGATCTGGAAATGGGTTGTTTGTACTGAGACAGTGTTGACAAAGTTGGTTGGCTGAAGGATCTAGAAAAAGGTTTTTGGTGTAGATGATATAAAGCCATGTTGGCTTGATCTGATAGAGCTGGAGGCTTGCAAGTTGGAGAACATGCCTTTTTTCCAAGCCTGTAGATAGAACTGTAAAGTCACAGCAATGTTGTTTGACAGGTACCTGTGGAGCACCTCAAGGCCAACCTTCCACAAGACAGTTCCCAACACCAGGTCAGGCACAGCTTAGTCTGAGTCATAAAAACCTCCAAGCAGAGAGATTTTATGAACAAAGCGAGCAGCCTGTTCTGGTGCTGCACTACCCCTGTAGTGAAAATGTTTCCCTGTGTCCAACCTAAGCCTTCAAAACCTCAATTTCTTAATGACTCAAAACAGAATTCAACTCTGTGTCAGTGGAGGAGCAATAAAACCCCCCGTTCCAGTTATGGAGTACCTTGGAGCTCCGTAGTATCCGCAGCCGTATCTGTCACAGCCTCTTATCTCGTTGGTAGGATTCCCTGAGCACAGTGTTGCCCAGTGTCTGTCTTGCTGTGGGAATGGTGGGACATCTTTGGAATACAGAAACACAGCACATCGAAGTTAGCATTGAGGGTCTATTTTGATTTTAGTCAGATAGGAACATACTGGAATTGCATCCACACATGGAGTTGGATGTTTCCTCCACAAAATGTATCACCCTTTTAGGAACTACAAATAGAACAAATGCCTAAGGTTGGATTCTAATGTTTTTACATCAGGGCTGGCTCCTGTGAGGACCATGCTTTAAAGAGAAACATTCAGAAGAGCATCATGGTTCCTAGAGTGTAATTTGAGGGATGAAAAGAGACATGGTTTCTTGTTCTACACCCAGACTAATGGGACACCTCAAGTCTTCTACATGACTACCAAATCTTTAAATATGTGATTGCAAAGAATCACCCTAAAGTCTGGCAAGCTGCAGTACTGACAACATTGCTAGTAGTTGACAGGGCACAAACAGAAGAGTTTTCTGCTCAGTTTATTGCTGAGACTTGATGCTTCTGTCATGGGGGGGCAACAAGTACAACTTGGTAAGCTGATACTTTCTGCATTCTATTAACTCTGTCTACAGTCCTGTTATGCTGTGTTTAAAATACATATTTTCTTTCTTTTGAAGGTTGCTGTCAGGGAGAACTGAAGACAGAGGGCACCACTGCTACTTGATATTGTCCTTATTTGAAATTAATAACTTAATTTTCACTAATTATACTACTTATTCTGGAGTTTATTGTTGTTGGTTTTTTTTTTTACCAGGTGTAAGTAGATGAGTAGGATCAGAGTGGTCACAGTTTTCAACGTGGATGTGGGAGATAATGCCAGGAAACACTTTCTGCATGGGCAGCATTCTCCCAAGGTGTTGCCCTCGGCGGATGTGGCCGTGGTATCTGATGGGGTGGATACAGACGAGCTTGACACAGAAATCTGGGAGAGACAGGAGAGGAAGCAAGGTCAGGAAACATCAGCTGCCTCTGCTTTTGGGGTGAGCAAGACCCCAGCCCTGCTACGTTCTTACTGGAGGCTGTAATGCTGAAGGAGAGATGTAGGTAAGGTACCAACAATCCTGAAATCCAAATTACTTGGATTGCTATGGAAAGAGGGAGTTGGAAAAGGGAGACTGGAAAATATCTCAGCAAAATCAAAGGCATATTTCTGAGACTTTATTACTACAATTCATTTTTTTGTTTGTTTGTTTCCTGATTTGGGTTCGATTTTCTGCTACCTGATTTTTACCTCCCTTCTTCCCTTTTCTCCAAGAAAAGCATAGGAAAAGGACTACATCCTGCTAGGATTTCTGATATTTCTTAGCAGCAGTCTAGTTGTGCACCAGTGTTGGAACTAGAGAGGCTGTAAAGTGAATCAATTCTTGGCTTCAAGAGCCACAGAAACCTTCCTGAAGTAAATCAAACAATTCCTGGTGCGTTCCTCACAATGTTTCTGCTGTTACTACTTGCCTGATCCTGTGATCTGGACTCCATCATCAATAGCATTTCCATTATGAAAGAACCGGATGGGTCCGGAGAGCTGGCCGCTGAAAGGAGCGTAGACGGTTGCTCCGTCGGCACAGATGACATCCACACCCACGTGCTTCCCTTTCCCACTGTGCCTGGAAACATAATCAAGGAATTGTCTGTCAGGCTGAACATCATGGGTAGATAGAGCAGTTAGCACAGTGTCTGAAACTTGTCTAACAAAAACTTTGCACCTGCGATTAAATCCAGAACCTGAAGGGGCTCCAGAAAAGCTGGGGAGGGGCTTTTCACCAGAGGGCAGTGATTAGACAAGGGGGAATGGTTTTAAACTTTAGCTTGTATCAATTAATCTGCTCAACTTCCAGTAAGCTGTTTCTGAATGTTAAATACCTGGTTTATAAGAAACAAGAGTAAATTACACAAATCCTTGGAATACTTCCCATTTCCTTCACTACTCTGGTTGCTGTATTATCTGTGTTAGCTCTACCCATGCATCAGTTAGTGGTGCTGCTAGGACTGCACTCCAGTGAGACTGCCAGTTAACATCCTAAAAATGGGTAAGAGACCCTGCAGGGAGCAGCCTTCCCTCGTTTGAAATGTTATCTCTGGTTAAACTCTACTCTTGTTCCCATTTGATTTAGGAGAACAAGAGCAAACATCACTGCTCCAGCCTCCCTTACCTGTCAGCACCGAAACGGCCACAACCATATTTATCACAGCCTCGGATTTGGTTGCTGGGATTCCCCCTGCAGATCGGTGCCCAGTGCCTGTGGTGCTGTTGGGGTGGGTGAGCATCCAGATGCTTGGCAAAAACTGCACAGGAGAAAGAGGAAAACAGGGAAAATGCAATCACATTATTCATATGGTACAACAGAAGGTGTCAAGCTGCAAAATAGTGTGTCTGAAATGGAAGATGTGACTCTTCTACCACAGAAGAGAGATTTCTTCCATAAGTAGTTTGGAGAATGACTCATGGGTGTCTATAATTTGAGAACCTAGAGGTAAAGTAACATTTTATAACCTGTTATATAGACTTGATCCCTTTTTCTAGAGGCCTTATTTTAAGATAAGCACACTAAAAACAAACCTATTGCTGGTTTTAGTATCACTTTGTGAAATAAGTCAAATGATTTTCCTTTTCTTCACATCTTCAACCTCTAAACACAGCAATATATGACTCCAAAAGCACACCCAATTCCTCTTTTATAGTAGTCATAATTGTGCAGATTGCCATAACTCTTCCTAAAACCAGACTGGAAAAGCTCAGCATTCTTTCTGTTGGAGCACATGTCAAAAATTGATCAGTGTCTGCCTAGAGCCGCGAGGTAGCAAACCCAACTCACCAGTGGACACCAAGCTGACCAGGGTGACCAGACTGAGAGCTGGCATCTTGTGGCTGTTTCACCCCTGTTCTTTGAGTGAATCAAAGACATTGAGCAGTAGCTGCCCTGGGGTATTTATGTGTTTTTGAAAGCCCAAGTCTGTTGTCTTGGCCAATCAAGCTTGAGCAAAGTGTTACAGCTCCGGGCAGAGTGTGTTGCCATATTAGGCACTGAGGATGTCTTGCCAATTCTTAACAGTTGGTAGAGCTGGTTGGGAAAGAAGGATAAAATAATTGGTCTCTTAGCACACAGTAACAGATGGAAACGAACCATCCTATATTTCAGGAAGCTCTGGTTGAAACATTTCTTAACACCTTTTCTTCCCTCTCCTGAAGCAAGGGCACACTTAGGCCAAAAGTGGCGGCAACCAAGAATGTGGTCCAGAGGATTGAGTTGGGGGGAAAAGATGAGCAAAACTACCCAGTGGACATAACCAGTTTGTCTTTCCCTGCTCAGTCCAGTGTGTGTGCCCATTAGAGATTTTTAGCAGAGTGACAGAGAACATGTAAAAATGTGATGTTTGGTGTGGCAGGAATATTTACTTAGGCTAAGAAATGCAGATGCTTTTGAATGGGAACACGTGGGTTTTGTGCTGTTCAGCTGAAATTGTCACCTACTCTAGAGTTAAATCCATGAAGTGTTTTCACTGAAACCCTAGTTTTTGACAACTAAAATACCTTCAAGTTCTCAAATGAAGAGCTGCAAACCTGAGTTGTCTTACATAACTGATGCAGAGTTTAAACATTCTGGGGTTTAAAATTATTTAGTATCTGCTTGTTTTCAGTTATTGTACTATTAAGCAGGCTCATTAGTGGTTCTTTTCATTGTTCCTTCTATTCAGTTTTTCTGCACTATGTAAGAAAAGCATTAGATTTTCTTTATGGGTATGCCTTATTTAATATCAAACTTAAATGAGTTGTGGAGCTACCACATCAACCATCTGATAGTCCAAGTTACAGAAACCTCTGGAAGACCTGCAGGGTTTATTCAGAGAAGCAGATCACTCTTTCTCCTCTATCTCTCTGTCAGACTTGTAGTTAGCAAAGACTGTCTGTACATTGTGTTTTCTGAAACTCTCCATGGAACAGGCAGCTGGAGACAAATTTTTCACTTGCAGTTCCAAGCTTTTCTGGAGCAAATATTTAGCCCCCCAGCAACCTTTTAGCCCCCTCTGGGTTATTACCAGTGACTTTGCTGATTTTTCCCCTGCTGCTTCCCCGTCCTGCCAGAAAGATCTGCTGTTTTTCACACTTACAGCCACCAAAGATTTATAGACATGCTTTGTCCACTCAGACTAGTTCTGATGGGGCTCTTGGCTGTAATTTTCTCAATGTACCAGGCTTACAAATGATACAAGGTCCTGGGTGGAGCTCTAGGCAGGTGTTTGGGGTCTGGGGATGCTGCTCACTCCTGAAGTGAAAGGTGGGGTGTGTGGATTTGTGTGACCCTGGCCAGAAACAGCCTTTGTTGCTACAAGCTGGGAGAGCTTGTGTAATAATCCCTGCAGCTTTCCAGGCTGACTCACCTTCATCTGGCAGTACCTTTCTGTAACCCCCCTTGTCTCTCCTTGGCACAGGCAGTCACCTGGAGAGGTGGGATGGGTGGCCTCTCTCAATGAAGATTTCATAGCATAGAGGTAGCAAAGTTCTTCTGAGCTTGGCTAGCTTGATACTAGCTTTTTTATTTGTGTCTGGCCATTCTCAGCCATGGGGTCTCCAGTGGGGGGGACCTACAATAATGATCTTTACCAGATTTTATTCCTGGTTAACTCCTGACTGCCAGTTTGCACTGGTAGTGTTTTAAATATCCCATTATGTACGTTTTAATTGGGGCAGACCTACCTTGAAAAAAACCTAACAATTTGTATAGATTTTTGTGAATTTGCATGCTCATCATTTTGCCATGGCAGGAATTGCAGCACCTCAATCCACTCTGTAGAGTCTTGCAAAGGACAGGCTGGGTATAAGGCCCGTGAGCTGGTAGGCACAAGGAGAGAAGTACAACTGTTCTAAGGGCACAGACACTGAAGAGAAGAAGCTTTTTCTCTGAGCCCTGTTTTGCAGTCTTGTATTTTGTAAAATGACTCTAAGCTACTTTTCCTTTGCTATTTTTGCCATCTCATTAGTGTTACAGAGCTGCCTCCAAATTGCTTGTAGGTATGTACATCTTTTCTGTTTTCTCCAGAAGACATTTTAACAGCATTTTGCCTTGCTCTGTTCTTTCAAAAACATGTCAAAATGTCATTTGCTACAATAATGTATCTAAAGCATTTCTAGGAAAACATTCTTAAGAGAGTTTTCAAGTGTATGATACCGCAGTTGAGATTTCTTGGTGTGTTCACCATCTTTCCTGGGTGAGCTGGAAGGTTCAGACCTTTCATCTTGGCTCTGGGGAAGCTCTGGGCTGAAGGTGGTGGGATTGCTGTGTTGGGCAACAGAGACGTTAGTGTAACGGTTGGTGGGTCCAGTTGTGAAAACCCCAACCTGGCTGCTTAGCACACACTAACAGAAGGATATGGAACCACCAGGCAGTGTTGCACAGCCCTGGGAGCTGCAGTTGCACCATTTCCTTCCCCGTGGCCAGGAGTGGGCAAGGAGCTGGAGAAGAGCCGGCGAGAGCAGGTGGGCTGACTTGGGAAACGCGGGCTTCTTTTTCTTGCCCAAACAGGGTGAGTTCCCCATTTTCCCCCTTGCATGTCAGCAGCAACTTCCCTGGCTGTGCAAGTCCCTTTGAGGTCTCCTCGTGGACTGAGCAAGAGTGCAGGGGGCAAGTGAGTGTTTGGGCTGGTATCAAAGCCTGATGCAGTCCTGGAGAAATCCCTACTTTGCTATTCAGCCTTCCCAAAGATGCTGTGACTCTGCTGTGTAAATGATGTTGTGTTTCAGGAGGGTCCTCTGCCAATTACCAGAGCTTTGAACAGATGCCACCTGCCATGGACAGGTCCATAAAACTTGCAAACATTAGACTAGTCCTTAACTATTAGTTATCTGAATATTATCTCTTAATGAGAAAAGTCAGATGGCAAAGGGATGGAATAAGGTTTTCAGAGGAAAAAAGCCAGAAAACAGCAACACACACCTGGGCAGTGGTAGTGGACCCTGTGAGCAGAACATCAGCAAAAGCCAAGCCCTGAGGCAGAGAAAATCCAACCCACCAGCCAAGGCCTGTGGTTTCCTTCCAGCTGTGCTGTCATCCTCTGTTTGTTGCCCACAAATGAGGGCTGGTTTCTGCATCTTTTCCTTGCCACAAGTTTCAGCTCTGGGATTCAACCAGTGTCCTGAACCTGGTTATTCGCTTCATAAAGTCCTTCCTCTTTGCAACCTCTGTGGGGCTGCAGTCCCAGTGAATTGGATAAATGAGAGCTGCACTTCTTATTTCTTGGTGATGCAGCATCCTCACTGTATGTTTGCCAGGCTTGTTAGCAGGGAAGTGAAAAGGTAAATCCCCTTCCTAGCTATATTCTACAGAACAATTGGCTTTGTCCCTCTTGGCTAGCCCAGTGTGTTTGGTGTGGGAACAAGTCAGTGTTGAGCACTTGCTTCCTTGCTGATCTGTGTACAACATGTTACCAAAGAAACTTAAAAGCTGTTTGTCTGGAAAATAAATACTATTCTTTGTGCTAATCATCAGAAATGAATTGTGATTTTAAAATGAACTGCAGAAGACTTTACTTCTGCAATGGGCAGCTCAGGCTTGCTTGGTGAAAATCAAGCTGGCACAAAGTAAAACAAATTGCATTCTTTGTTTATTCAGGCTGCTGATCACTTGAGGAGACTGAGACTTGAGGAATTTTGCCATAATGATGAATTAAGCTTTGTCTATGCAGCTTCTTGTAGTATTGCAGGAAGATCAGCAGGTTGTGCTAGCTGCTCAGCCAAAGGCACAGCTGGGCATGGCATTTTAAGCAGATAGCAAGCTGTGGGAGATCTGAGTGTGCTGCCTTTCTTTGCTGAGGATGAAGATGAAGTTGTGCTGATCTGAAGACTCCATCTCAAATTTATCTCCCCTTTTAAATATATCTGATGAACATGAGTTAGACAGGTTAAGATGAGGAAGATTGAGGAACACAACATCTTTTTGCTGCCTGTGCCCTATCCCATGGGGAGGACAAAACTCTGGCTGAATCCTCCAGAAATCCTTTGCTGTTTGGGGAAATAGAAGGGTACAGCACAGATTTGGGTTGCAGCCTTAGGCAGTTAGTGGACCTTGTGGTACAAATGTAAAATGAAAGGGATAGTAAGGAAAGGGATCCCTGCAGAACTGGAGCAAAACCAAAGCCATTCTGCATGGCCTGAGTTTACCAGCTCTTCCCTAGAAATCCTAGTTGCCTCTGTTACTTCCCCAGCCCCTTTCCCCTCACCTTGGATATTTCTAGCACTGTGTGCTTTCCCAGCCCTTTATTTCCTTCCCAGCATCTCCTACAAACTGTACTTTCCCTTCCTCTACACCCAGTTATTTTTTTACTAGACTGAAGAGATAAAGCTGGGTTTACTGACACTGTTTGCCCCAACTGCACTGTAACCTCAAACAGAAAGTGGTGTTTACTTTTTCTTCCCTGCTGCTGGGAAGAAGCTAAAAGAGATCCAGCTAAACCGGGAATTTTTAGCATTCGGCATCCCTGCTCCACAGCACTGCTCCTCCTCCCTGTGCTGCTGGAAAAACCCAGATGAAATAACACCCCCCGGAGAGGGTTTGTGAAACCAATCTGTGGGGACAGGCCAGAAAAACACTGAGCTGTTGTCACTAATTTAGTGGTGGAAATTATCTTTGTAGAGGAGCAAAGTCAGGCTGCTGGCTGGGAGGCTCAGAACCCTGCTCAGTCTGCAGGGCCAGTTCAGTCTGACATGATGCTTTGCATGGAGCTGTGGAGTTTTGATGGGGACCTTCCCTTTTCCAGGGTAAGAGGGTGATAACTGGGTTAAAACCTGGGATTTTAACCAAATGAAACTCAGGTGGGAGTGCTTCTTTTCTGCTGGCAACCAACTTCATGACAAACAGTTCAAAAATTGATCAAAACTGGAGAACTCTGGAGCCTTTTGTTGAAGTGTTTCTGCTTTTAGTGTAAGGAAAAGGGTTTTTCTCACAGCAAACTCCATCATATCTGAGTCACCTTCATTGTCTGGTTACTGTCTGCCCCCGTAGCTTGGGGCTATTTGTATGGATGTGCTGATGCATCATTCAGAGCAAAATTAAACTGTTTCCTGGGGAAAGTGAATGGGACACAGCAGGTTAAGCATTTTTCACAGATGTAGCAAAAATCTTTCAGCAGTTTCTCAGAAGAAATGAATCTGCTGTCAGAACATCAACAGCTCCCACTGAAGCAGCTTCCCTGCTTATCTGATGCTGCAGCTGCATTAGAAAACCACAGAATCACAGAATTGTGACTTGTGTTTGTAGCACCTGAGTCCTTGAGGATCCCAGGAGCATGTTTGTGGTCGTGCCCAGAAAAGCCCTGTCCTGTTAACAAGAGCTTGTTGTCCCAGGAAAGTCTTCAGGTGATTTACTAATGGAAAGAAATGCCTCACTTGGACAAAAAGAAACCTGGCAAACAAGGCAATCCTGAAGCAGGGGTCTGGGGAAAAGGAATGAGTTACTTCATTAATATTGCTGTATGGTTTTGGTCATGGGCCCCAGGAAAGATTTGGATTTCAGCTTTATACATTGGGGGTTTTTTTCTCTCCCCAGCTGCATTAAAAAAGCAGAACCCAGCCCAAACTCTGTGACAGCACCAAAGAATTTCAAAACAATTTGTAGTGAAGCAGCCCTTTAATCATGTGGTTTTCCAGATGTAAGCACAAGTGAAATTCCTGGCTTATTGAAGAAATCTTTGTGTTTGGCTGCAAAGAGAGCAGAGAAGTCCAAGAGGAGGGAGCTGCAGCAGGTTTAACCTCAACCACAACTGAGCACCAGGCAGCCACTGGCTCAGACCGTACCCTGTGGGATGGGGGGAAGAGAACTGGAAGGGTAAAAATGAGGGAACTCGTGGGTTGAGATAAGAACAGTTTATTAATTGAAGTAAAATGCAAGAAAATAGAATAATACTGATTACATTGTAATGAAAAGGAAAATAATAAAGAGAGAGAAATAAAACCCCAGGAAGACAAGTGATGCAAATGAAAACAGTTGCTCATCACCAGCCAACCAGTGCCCAGCCAGTCCCCAAAGCACAGCCCCATTCTACCTGCTGTGAAGAAAATTAACTCTATCCCAGTTGAAAGCAGCACAAGGATCCACCCCCTCCCATCCACTCATCCTCCCCTGCTGCTTCAGCCTTCATCCACAAGCAGTGATGTGCAGGATACAGGAACAGCTTGAAGCATGTGTTATATTTTACTCTGACTCTGGTTGTGTTCAGATAACTACCAGCACTTTCTTCCTGGATACATTTTAAGTAGAACAACTGTTGGAGGCACCGACTAGAGTGACTACTAATGCCCAAGCAATTTAATGAATACACAAGTGGGGGCTGAAGGCTTTGCCCCTGAGGTGCAGCTGCCTGTTTACACATAGGGAGTAGGATCTGATAAGTCACAGTTCTGGATGTGGACATGGGATATAATCCCTCGGTAGACCTTCTGCATGGGCAGCAGGACGCCGATCTTCTCTCCCTTCTTGATGGGGCCACTGAACTTGATGGGTTTGATGTAGAATATCTTGACACAGAATCCTGTTAACAGGGGAGAGAGAAGAGGGAGAAAGTGTTGCTTCTGTCAGATGGTGTAAAGGCAAAGAACGTTCAGTAGCAAAATAAAAATGACAATTGAAGGGTGAGAGATTGAGCAGCAGAAAAAGTTGCAGAAAATGCTGCGATGCTCCTACAGCATCAATAGGAGAGAGGAGGAAAAGAAAGAAATTAAGGGCTGGGGAAGGGGATTAAATGGGTAAAGCTCCCTGAGCAGGTCAGAAGTTGTTCCTTTAAACATCCAAAATGTGCAAAAGGACCAGCCTCATCCTTTGGCTCTTTTAGCAGAGACAAATGCTGTAACCCTTCCAGTCAAGTGTCCTGCATTAACAGAAGCCAGATTTCAAAGTTACAGTTTTCACTTGGATGGACATGCAATCACACTGCAGGTTGGGTTGGGTTCATGATTTTTGGCTCAGTTAAAAGCTCTATATGTGAATTGAAGCATTTTGCAGTCAGGATTTGCAAGACACATGTTCCAGCTGGGGTACCTGATCCTGAGAGCTGCAGCCCGTTGTCGATGCTGTTGCCGTTCCCGTAGGGCTTGGCTTGCTTGTCAATCTTCCCCGAGAAGGGTGCCAGCACATCTGAGCCATCCTTGCACACCAGGTCCACTCCCTTGTGCTTCCTCGCACCTCTGAAGAAGAAGAGCAAGGTGGGTTAGCCCATGTCAGAGCACCTTGCCAGCTAGAAACCCTCCTCTCACCCAACTTTTCATGCTCATTTTGATTTTAGGGAAGTTTCAAGCTCCGCCACCTCCCTCCCCCAGCCCGGGACCTGGGGCTGTTGTATCCACCGCAGCCCCACGAGTCGCAGCCTCTGAGCTTGTTGGCAGATTGGCTTGAGCAGACTTTCCCCCATTTTGCTGCAGCAACTGGAAAAGAAGAAAAGAGAAAAACAGAAGATGAAACCCATGATCTAGAAAGGGAATTTCCCAGCCCATGTTTTTTAATCAGTTGCAAGGTCTCTTGGACTTTGCTGTAACCGTGGAACAGGCTCCAGGGAACTAGAAAGTTGTTTGTCTCCTGATGCAAGTTGATTTTAGGGATGTGATGGAGCAGCATTTTTTTTTTTGGTTTATGCTTTGCCCAAGGATGTTTTATGGTACTTAGAGCAGTGACTTCAAAGCAAAAGTGCAGAATGTCTCCCTCTCTGGAAAGAACACCATGAAGTGACCTACTGCTCTCCCATTCCCTGGGCAGGTGGGCTGCACTCACATGAGGTTGGAGCTAAGGGATGTCTCTGCCCTGAAGGTGACCTGAGCCATTCAGAATCTTGGGATACTGAACTGTAACTGTAAAAAATGGGGCTGAGAGAGACCCACCAAGTCCATTCCTATTCCCTAATGTGGAAAGTTAGTCAGAATTAGAAGCTGTCATCTCCCTTTTGCTAATTGCACTGTTTCAAAGTAGCAGCCAGTAGGGTCATATCCTCCTATTTTTTATTCCAGACTCCAGCTGTCATCACTCTTGGTCAAACCCACGCTGAGCTGATGGCCCCAGTGAGGTCTGAGAAAGAGAAGGCATTTATAGAGAGTAAGGGAGGAAATTCATCCCCTGACTCGGTACCTTTTATGAGCTTCTAATACCCCTGGTAGCCCCAGCAAAACTAGCAGGGTTTCCCATGGGATGCTCTAGCAAGAATGGGATGAGCAAGAGGAATGAGTTGAGGTTTATTTGTGTGTGTGAACATCTTGAGAGGGACCAACCCTGTTGGGATCTGGGAATACAGAAAAAAAAGGGGAAACGATTTGCTGGTGCTGAAGGTCTGGTGCTAAAAGGGTGCAGGAAATCTCTGATGCTTCCTCAAGCAAAGCAGCCCTTTGTTCTAGATAGTCTTCATTTATTTTAATGAATTGTGTATTCTTTGTAAAATCAAAGGTAATGACAATAAACACAGAAAAGTCTCTGGGAACAGCTGGTGCTCAGAGAGCTAATATTTAGGTTAAAGGCTTTTAAAAAAACATGCATGCTGTCAGCTGCTGATGTGCCTCACTGAGTCTTTTTTGTTTAATCAACATGAAACATAAAAAGTTGAGAGTTCAGGTTAGTAGTTCAGAAATGTAACTGCTACTGACTTCCTTCATGTAAAGCTTCATCAAGTGGTTTAAGAAAGCATTTTAATAGTCAGATTCCCTGTGCTTTTAACTACAGTTCTGTGGACTTGCAGAAAAATAAATAAATATTGAAATTAAAATTATAATAGATTTTAGGTTCTGGAAACACGAATAATCCAAATTGAATGCTTTTAATTTAACCTGGAAATGTTCAAGGCCAGGCTGGACAGCACTTTGAGCAACCTGGTCTAGTGCCCATGCAGGGGGGTTGGAACTGGATGATCTTTAAAGCCCCTTCCAACCCAAACCATGGTTCTATGATTATTACTCCAACAAAATTTTGCCACAACTCTTTATTATATGCATAGGATATTTTACTGCTGAGGTTTCTATGCACTGCCAGAGGGGATATTTGCAAAAGCAAAACATGGCAGAGAGCAAGTGAGTTGATAAATCCTTACAGAGATACTCCATATAAAAAAGAAATTTAAAAAAAAAAAAAGAAAGAAAGAAAGAAAAAAGAGGAGGAAAAAAAAAAAGAGCAAGCAGGTAGATTATGATGAGAAATGTTTGCCCAAACTCAGGTAACTCACCACTGGAGATGGCAATGGCCAGGATGATGGCTGTGACTCGGTGCATTTTCATGTGTCTTGAGAGCTCTGCTTTCAAAGTGCAAGGTCAAAAATATTTTGCTTTCTATTTATACATCCCAAGAGAGGCTGTATCCACATTTTCCCAGCCAATCAGAGAATCCATGTGGCTTCAGCTCTTTTGCTGGCAGGCTCAGGCCAATGGCAGGAGCTGAGGGCAGCACTGAGGTGTCCCACCAGCCTGGCTACTTGGTGGGGGGTAGAGGCTCCAACTTCTTTAGCAGCTACGTGGGTTTGTTTGTTTTATGGTTTTGTTTTTTGTTTTTTGTTGTTCTGGTTTTTTTTCTTTACAAGGAAATTATAAACATTGAACCCAAATTTCAAGGATGATTTGTAACTGTTTCTCCATTCCTGCTTGTTGCACAACCCTGAAGTTTAACAAAATAACTTGGGTGGACGAAGGGGAAAAAGAGTTCAAATGAATGTAAAAAAAATATCTGGGCATGTGGAGACTTTGCCCTCCCACCACTTTGTGGGGAGAAGTTCAGGCAGGTGGGCACAGCCCTGTGCCCCACATCTCACCCATCACCCTCGTGCTGGAAAAACCTGATGAGGTGACCTGTGAAATGAGAACCTTGCCCTCCACATTTATTTATCCAGTTTCACTGATGCATCCCAGATATAACCACGTTGCTGCTGCTGAATTTTGGGATGTGTTTACAACCTTCACTGTGCCTAAATGGAAAATGTTCTAAACCCTAGAATACTGTGGCTGAGCAAAAGTACGGGAAGTGGAAGATGAGAACAGTGGAGCATGAACAAGGCCACCTTGGGAGTTGTTTCTGGGAAGGGAGGGAACACGATGCCCTTGTTTACGGGCAGGAGCTGGAGATGTTTGTCTTCTTGGCTCTTCAGCCACCCAGTCTGCACCACTGGGGGTCACTGACTTTTTTGTTTCCCTGTGCAGTAAAACCCAAGAGCCCAGGCTAGACACAGCTCTGGGTCAGGGCTCACAGCTGGGATGCTGTGCCCTCCCTGTCTCTTTTGTGGCACCAGATGCCTCAAGACTGGCCTTACATCCCCAAGCTGAGCCAAGAGAAGTTCTTCTGCATGGCCTTCAAACCCAGCTCTGTCAGTGATGGAGACATCAGGTGCTGATGGATGCTACAAAGCAGAAGCTGTATCTAATGGAGAGGAGGGTGATCCCATCAGGATGTCTTTAAGACACACACCCTGCCTTCTCCTTTCCCCTTCTCCCAGAGAAGTGCCATCCAACCATGTCACTTCTGTCTGTCATCCAGCAACAGAGCAGGAGCTTGGCTTGGACAGAGCCAACATCTGAACACAACGTGATGCTTGGCTGCATATGAGTATTTTACTCATTCATTAATTCATTAAATGCAGACTAAATTATTTGCTGATATTTTGTTATACCTTGACATGAAGATCAGGGAGGTGAAGAGAGATTAAGATAGATTTGTTGTAAGCTGTGCAAGAGCAGCAGATCTTCTGCTCACCTTCACTGCACCCACCATGCTGCCTTTCTGGGGGATTACAGCCTTATTCTGCATCTGAACAAACCTGCAAGAACTGAAGCAATGCACATGACCTATCAATGCCTTCACATTTTGTTTGTTGCCAGCTGAAGCCAACATTTGGGGTTGAAGCCTATGAGAAAATATTTTATTTTATTTTATTTTTTATTTTTATTTTTCAGAACAATCAGTTGCAGAAAAGTGTCAGCAATTGGCAATTACTTGATTGTGCCTTGAAGGCAGGTGTGTGAAAGCATTAAAAGGACAGGGGGAATCAATCCAGGGTAGAGCTTGTGGGATGCAGGTGATGAAGGTCTCCTTGGGGAGGAGAGGGGAGCTCCTGGGGGAGGTAAGTGCAGCAGGATGTGGCTGTGTTAGTAGCCACTGAGAAATGGAAATTAAATGTGTGTATGTGGGGGGGAAGTACCTTTGTTAGTAGGAGCTGCAGAGCCTGGGTGGCATGTATGTCTGAGAGGGGGGGAAAAAAACCAACCACAAAAAAACCCTAAAAAGCTGCATTTTTGCTGGACCCCCTGTGCTGTGTTTGGGGTAACACCAGGGGAGGTGGGTGTCTTGCTTGGAAAGGGGTGAATAAGTAGCAAAATGGTAAAATACTCATTTGCAGCCAAGCATCATGGCACCATCAAATTAAATGTAGTTCAAAAAAAGATCAACTTTAAAATACAATGACATTAAATCCTATCTCCAATATACATCAAACTCATTAAAAGCAAGTTCTAAAACTGTAACCAGGCTGACATCTAATGATTTCAATAAAGAGGAAGCATTTTCCTCAGCCTGCCACTGAGCAGCATGAGAGGGTTTCCTTGCTGTTTTATCAGGTACCAAGGCAGGACTGAGTTTGTTGGCAAAGCTGTAAAGGTTGTGAATTCTCAGCCCAAATAAAAAGGCTCTTTTTTCCCTTCCTCCCACCCTTTCAATTTTGAGCTTTGGACACCTCAGATGTGCTGAAGCTCACAGCCTGCTCTGGGGTTCCCCAACATATAAACCCAACAAACAGGAGTCTTCTCAGTTTTTTGTCTTTATCCCTCAATACAACCCAAGGCACCGAAGTGTCCTTAGAAGACCTTTAGATTAAAATGGAGTGAAATCCCTTGGTGCAGGTGGGTTGCAGTAATGGAGAGAGGGCAGTTGGGTTACCTAAATGTCAGGTTTGGGAAATATCCAGGTTTTGCAATATTCTAGTTGAATTTCTCCCATTAAATGAAGGGAAGGAAGCTGTAAGATGGTGCTGCAGCTGCCTGTTATCAACGTCTTGATTTGCTGGGCTTTTTAAAATTTTTTTTATGTTGTCAAATGCCACATATGAGCCCCTGGAGGAGGTGACAAGCTGCAATCCCATGTGCCAGCAGACTTCCCCACTTGCTGCACTGGGCTGTGTTTCCTGGCGACTGACAGTGCATAAAAGAGGCTCTGAATTAGTAAAAAATCTGTCTATGTTGATAACAACTTATTGCTTCTGTTAATGATACTTATATTAAAAAAGGAAATTAGAAGAACAAGGCATTCTGGAGAGCACTTTAGTGTCCAAAAGCAGCTGTTTCTTCTGCCTCCCCTTCTCTAATAATCTTTTGGACCTTTAAAGAGGTAGAAACTAGTTTATCACCCCCAGAAATGGTGTGATTTTTATTTTTTTTATTTTTTAAGAGGAAACCTTGTTGTTGGTGTGTAATGGATTCCTGAAATGCAGCATCCAGCTGGTGTAAAGGCACTGAGGGAAAGGGTGGCAATGAAACCCAATTTAACTAATGAGAGTCATTTAGAGAAAGACTTTATTGCAGAGTTTCGTGGAAAATGGTTCAGGAACTGTGGCAAAGAAGGGGTTTGTGGTTCCTCAGAAAGCCTTGCTTCAATCTGTAGAAACAGACAGTGGTTTTTTATTGGTGCCTGTGAGCAGCTGAAGGGGCTGTGTGCAGCCATGGGGACAGGATTGTCCCTTGGGTGCTGCCCCAGGGGTGCAGAGCTGTCTCCAGGCCCCATGAGATCCCACTGAGCCCTGGCCAAGAGCAGCCTGGGAGACTTTGCAGCCAGTATTTCAGCTAGTCCCTTTTGGCTTTAAACCCCAGTTTCCTGAGCACAGCTGCCTGGTGACTCTTGCAGGAAGAAAATTCATCAGGGTCCCAGGCCCCTCAGTGTGGGGGGTGAGACAGGAGAAGCTGCACAGCCCTGTGTCCCTTCTGTAGTGCACCAGCCCTGAGATGTTCCTCATGTTCTTGGGCAATGGTCACCCTCTGTTAATTCTCAGTCAGTGGCCTTGTCTCCTTTCTTGTCCTGTTGCTGCTTTGGGGAGCATTTTGGGTTGGTTTTGGTTTTTATTTTCTTTCAAAAAAACCCTGTTGAGCAAGAGCTCATGTTGGCAGATCTGAGCTCATCCAGGAGAAGCCTATGGATACCTGGTCCCAGCCAGATCTTGGCTGTGGACACCTGGGAACCAGGGAAGAGCAGCATTCATCTTTTGGAGCAGAAAAAGGGTCCATGAGATGAGCAGGACTGTGCAGGGGGTGGCGGCGGTGGCCGGGCTGCCACTGCCCTCTGATGGAAGGCAGGAGAACACAGTCCTGCTGAGCAGCCTCTCCTCAGCCTCCTGCATCTTCCTCTCTGTGTGAAGAGATAGCCAGTACAGCCAGACGTTCTGTGCACACATATTGTCACCTGTACTGCTCCTTGGGCTGCCAGGGTGGGAGCAGGCAGGGGTGGAGTCACCGTCCCTGGGGGGATTTCAAAGCCACGTAGAAGTGGTGGCCCTGGCAGGGCTGGGGCAATGGTGGGACTTGGTCATCTTTGGGGTCTTTTCTAACCAAAATGATTTTATGATTAAAGGAAGCCCAGTTCTAGTGCTGGGATTTATGCGGCTGCATCTGCCCACTGGGATGAACTGGTGTGTGCAGCTGGAGGCTGCTCAGGTGCCCTGGGATCCTTTTATTCTTTTGTTCTGCTTTGTGTGCAGTCCCTCCCAAGTTCTGGTGCTGAGGGAGGGGTGCACAGGGCAGAATTAATCCCCTGCCCTCCTGGGGATGGGCTCCTTATCTGACACTAAATGCTGACCCAGTGGCTGCTAGTAAGAGAGTTTTCCTTCTCCTTCACTGCACATCTACATCCTCTCACACCTCCTGTCACCCAGGGCTGTGCTCCAGCACCTTTGCTTTCACTTGTGAGAAGGAAGAGACATTTATTTCAGCACAATTCAAATCCCCAACCAAGTCTCATGGTGCCTAGGATCCCAAATTTCCCTGCCAGGGTATCCCAGCCTTTGGGATCAGCCCCAAACACCATCTCAGTACTTTGCCATGAGCAGCACTGAGAACTGTGATACTCTGAGTATTTAAATATGAAAGCACATGGAGATTACTATAAAAATGATACAGCTGTTGTGTTGAGTTTGAGTCTTCTGTGTCCAGCAGATTTTCTTTTACACTTTAAGAGGAACTGCTGCTGGATTGAACAAAGCTGTGGTCAGAAACTGGTGCAGGAATTGGGGCTGGGCTTGCTGATAGGCAAA